CAGGTTGGGAGCAGAGGATTTTAAGTTGCAGGAATAAATTGAGACTCTGCAGACTTAAACTTCCCTGGAGAAACAGAACTTATGTTAAAGAACCCTTACTGTTTCTGGCAAGGGGCAGCCCATTTACGGGCAACAAAACATAAAAAGTATTTCTCATCTTTAAAAGCTGGAAGGGAAAATAAAGGAGAGAGACTGAGCAGGATGTTTTGAGTTTCTCAGAAAGAATCTCAGATTTACAGGCAAAGCCTTGTGTTTAGTGTTATATAAATAGATTGCCCATAAACGAGTCCGATGCAGTCAGCAAGGTGTAAGAGTTTATATACGCGTGCTGGCGTGTGTCTTTAAGATAGCACAGGCTTCTGACTTTGGATAAGCTGAGTGAAGTCACAGCTGGTCAACGGCAGCTCATGGATCTTTCTCAGAGGCTGAGAAAAATACAACCAGCAATTAAAGTCATGTTTTCCATTAATAATAATAACAAAAAACCCACCAACAATGCAATTCCACATGTCTAGTTTCATAAGAAACTTTCCACATGAGAGGCTTATTCTGGTAAGGGCACCATCAAACTTCATTACAAAAAAGGTGCCTTTTCATATCTAACTCACATTAAGGAAACGTCTGGGGCTTACACACCATGTAAATATTGCCATAAGCTTGGCTCTTCTTTTATTTCTGCATCAGCCACCTGGAACATTTTACAAACCAGAGGCTGAGCTCAAAGTACAGAATATCTTACCAGAATCAGTCTAAGAGCTGGTAAACTTGGAGATGGCAGTCAGTCCAAAAGGGGCTGGAAAAACAGACCAACCCACCAATCAACAAATAAACAAACAAAGAAAACTACTGGACTCTATGGTGACTCACAGTTAAGTACAGTTAGCTACTTGTTTCTTAAGTTTGAACTTCATACACGTGGGCATTAGGGGCCTAACCACCATTTTGGCAAATCAGAAAGAGCACTGGATTCAGAGTCAAAAGAGGGTGCTCTGTAATTGGCCAAGCTGAGTTAAACTTTTCTTCCTCTCAGCTTCCTCCTGTGTGATGGAAGCGAGGTTAATGATGGGTGTTCCTAGTCAGGCTACTGTGAGCAGAGAATGAGATAAAGTAGGTCAAAGTGCTTTGGGGCGTTTAAAACATTACACAAACGTAAGGGATTTGTATTATGGGAGGGCTAGGGAATTCCCTTTCTCTTCTAGTATGGAAAGGAAGGAAGATAGAAAAAAATCCATGCCTGTTTTATCTGTGAGAAAGGATTAGAATCCATCTATTTTATATGAAGATGAGATAGAGCAGAGTTGTGTAACAAGAATGCTGGATGTGTCATCATTCTTACTAGAAAATTAACACAAGGTTTAATAACATCAGTAATGTGACTGATTTTTAAGTAAACATATCCAAATGGGTGTTGTCCTATCCAGAGCAGTGAGCAGTCATCTTGGCAGGTGAAATACTTATTTAAATTATATTTCTCATGATTCAAAGAAAAAATTTTTTAACTCCTCTTTTGGAATTATTCCTAGAGCCTCTGGCACATTCTTTTGAATATGTCTGAGGGTGACAAATTTTTGTCTTTTGTGGCTAATACTGATTTCTGTAAACAGCCCAAAGTTATTTCACGTGAAGGCAGTAAGTGACCTAAGCAACACCATTTTTTTTAATTGAAAAAAAGCTATGACTATAAGATAGGAAGCCGATCTTTCTTTCAGTTCAAACAGAAGAGTTAAAAATAGTAGATTTCAAGAATTGGCAGTATTGTTGGGAATGGCTTGTTCCTTCCTAAGGTGACCACATCAGAGAAGAAAGGCCATTTGGAAATGTCCATTTCTACATTTTTAGTCACACATTCATTATTTATCTTGCAGGACTGTTTGCCATTAGATCTTGAGTTTCCAGAAAGAAAAGAGCATAGGAACAAATCAACCATTCAATCATTTTATCACAGCTCCTTGGGGCATCTGAAGCCCTCATTTGCACATGGATTAACTGGCTAGCAACAATACAGATGTTTCCAATGAATTAACACCTGGGTCTACTGGAAATATAGCACTCAGCAGATCCAATAGACTCTCTACTCCCTTAAAAAGTTTGGATTTTTTTTTTCAGTTATGAAACAACCTATCTGAAAATTAAAACATCACTAATATCATTACACTGTAACAATGCAACTGCTAGGGTAGATTTGCTTCTGGTGCAAATAATTTAAATTGTTAATGTTATTTCAAAATAAACACAATTGTACTTTCATTTATTGAATATTACACATTGTGGGTATTTCAATGTTAAATGATGTCAATGACATTGCTTTTATGGAAAATATTATTTTCCCTACCTCATTTTTTATTGTGGTAAAATTCACATAACATCAAATTCATCATTTGACCATTTTAAAGTGTACAGTTCAGGGGCATTTATGTTCTGCAACCACTACCACTATCTAGTTCCTAAACATCTTCACCACCCCAAAAAGAAACCCTGTACCCATTAAGAAGTCACTCCCAATTCTTCTCTCCTCCTAACCCCTGGCAATTATTAATCTGTTGTTCCTATGGATTTATCTATTCTTGACATTTCATATAAACGGAACCTTACAATATGTGGCCTTTTATGTATGGCTTCTTTTGCTTAGCATAATGTTTTCAGCGTGCATCCATGTTGCAGCATGTATCAGCACTTATTTCTTCTTAGGGCTGAATAATTCCATTGTATGGATATACTACATTATGTTTATCTGTTCCTCCACTGATGCATATATGGGTTGTTCTCACCTTCTGGCTATTCTGAATAGTGCTGTCATGAACAGAGGTATATAATTTTTTGTTTGAACACCTGTTTTCAATTATTTTTGATATATACCCAGGAGTGGAATTGCTGGGTCATATGGCAATTCTATGTTTAACTTTCTGAGGAACCACCAAACCTCTAACTCATTTTTATGCTTACAATTTCAAGGTGGCCTGATTACCAGACAGTTAGAAGCATTTGTACTACTGTAGCCAAACCCCAGGCTGGACCCAAAGAGGTCTCTTTTTCAGAAACGCTGATTAGAGCAGCTAGGCTTGATCCGAGCCAAGCTTGTTCCAACACAAGGTTATGGGCAGGGCTTTGAACAGCTTTCTCTGCTGCTCTACATGTCACAGCATGAACTGGCTGGGCAGGAATATCTTCCTGCCTCCTAGGCATCCTTGGTTCTCCATTATGTTGCACACGCTTTGGGTGGAAAAAAAAAGATGTTAACTACCTAGCTTACAGGCTTCGCTCCTTCTCTTTTTGCAGAAGAGTTCAGATTAGCACCAGGAGTCCATGTAGGAATGGTGCTTTGGGGGCAATGCTACACCTCAGTTCTGAGCAGAGATTTGTCCTTTCATGATGGGAGAACAGGGCCTCCCGAACACTAGTTGAGACTAGAGAGATCTTCCATCCATCCGGGGTAGACTTGTACCATACATTTTGCTTGAAGGCACTGCCCAATGATTCTGACCCTATCAATCTATAGATACTGAAGTTGAACCCACCCTACTCTGTATGTTGTACGTGGTCCACCCTATGGTCTTGGCCAGGACAACAGGAGATAATCTTACTACATGCATTGTTTACTGCAGCTAATTTACTGAGTCATGAGTCTCCTCAACCATTAACCCAACCCTGACAGTAAACTGATGAGCACTGATTTTTTTTATTTAAACCTGTTCATGAGCCTCAGAATGCTGATCTCTTAGCTCCACTGCCTAACACATAGGTAGTTTCTGAGCTACAGGAGCTCAAATCAAGAAGCATTATGATCGCACTGCCAAAAACAGACATGGACCAAAACGGCTTTTTCCCCTTGAAACTAAATATTAAGAATGAAGAAGTTGGCTTCCGGGGCCCTTGCTAAGCAGTCTCTCTTCCAACTCAGCTGTCACTTGTCACTTGTCTCCTGGCAGCCCTTTCAGGTGTCCTGGCCTGAATCTGCTATTAGAACAGAAAAAAGTCCCTTGGCTGGTCATATCCTCTGTAATCTGGCAGGAAACCTAAAATTTGCCTGCTCCCGTCCTCGGTCTGTTTGCTTATCTGCTTCCTTGTAGGGAAGAGTCTGCATCACAGTGTCCGGTTCAGGGGGATTTTCACCATGACCTCACCCTCCTCCAGCTACCATCCACTGATTTCAGCGCGGCAGCTCAGGGATCCACATTAACAACCCCTCCTTGCCCATCTCAGATTAACATCAACTCCAGTTATTTCTCCTCAACGGAGGGTCTTTGCAGAGGTCTGAGAATGCCAAAAAGAGCTGGGGGCGGGGGGAGCTGGGGCGGAGATTGACGACGTTTGGTTATCATTCTGGGCTTGGGAGAGCAGGATGTCAAGGGAGCCACCTTAAGAAAACGCATCAGAAGTCTTCCAGGCTTGCCTCCGCTGTTCGAATAACTTTCGATCCAACGGCCTCGAAATAAGGCGCGCGAACGGTGACAGCAAGCGGCGGCGGGCACGTAACCCGGGTGTAAGAACGGCGGGAGCGGTTGGGAAGCCCAAACGGAGTGTCCGGGATCCGGTCTCCGGCCTCCAGGGCTCGGGGAAGTAGCCCTTCTGCCCCTAAGTGGGCGCAGCTCATTAAAGGGGAACAAAGTCGAGCTCCGCAGACTAAGCGCGCCCCCGGCCTGGCGGGAGACCACGTGACCGCTCCTAGAGGGGGGCCCCCCCCGCCCCCGCACGAGCCCGCCGGCGGCCGCGGGC